TTTATTATATTTACCGATCTCCCGAGTGCAGAAACTGGTTATTTATTAGCTAGCTAACTTGGTAAACTCTACCCTAACAGTGTCGCCGGGGACATCTGTTGTAAATTGCAGCAGTCATGTAGAAACAAAACACTTGATCTTGTTTAGTCTATGTTTTGAAGTATGCATCTTTTGAAGAAGTGGCTAAAATTCTTGTTGGACTGTCCTCAGCTCATAAAGAAGCCACTTCTTCACAACTGACACAGTTAGCATTAGCTTCTGATACCTCACTGTCAGTAAATGGAAACCTACCAGGCAGTCTTGCTCCCGACACGCAACATGGTGATGTTAGCAGCGACTGAACGTCGGTCTTTCACATTCACTCTTCAGGCACAGTTTAATTCATCTTGGCAAATTCTTCACATCTGTTTGCCTATTACTGCAGCTAGCGAACAAGGACACGGCAAGAATGACAGTCCACTTCCTGTGTGAACGGTCCTACCTCCAAATCAGCACGGATAGAAAATGCTGTCTAGTCATGTTGTTCCTGGTCATAGTAACGTTTGTCCATTAAAATAACTGTTTTTGATTATTTTTCTTTAGCAGGCAAACCAAAATCGAGTTAGAGTTACATTAAATTATATTGAAATACAGTATCAAATTTATCACAATTTAAATGTGTGTGTCTTGTAGTTGTAAGAGTGGTGAAAACTTCGAAAAGAAAAATTGCATATATAAATGGGTAAGTTGCTGCACTCCAGTGTTCAACTGTGCTCACTACATCCAAAAAAGTTCAATCTGGTCCTCTGGAAATTCAACAAAACAAAACAAAGAAAAAAAATGTAGAAACGTTTCGTCTTTCATCCGAAAGACTTCCTCAGTCTGAGGTGCTGTATTCAGCTCAGTCTTATAAATAGCACCGTCTCAGAGTGGATCAACCAGTTTGCTGCTGACAACCAAAACCAGCTGCTCACATGGTCAAGAAGGACCATCAGCCTAACAATGGATCATTAGCACACTGATGGCTGTTTACTAAACACAGGGGGTCTTGTGTGGGATTTCTCCTTCTGCCTGTCTCCTGAGTTAAATCTAAATTAAATCTCAGAAAGTCCAACATTTTACTGACCACATCAACTCTGTGGATAAATACATCAAGTTCACACGAGAAGATGTAAAATATGGCAGGTTGGCTTTCTTGGACTGTGAAGTCTCAGTCTCTGATAGAGGCCTTTTGCAAACTGAGGTGTACCGCAAACCCACCCACAGAGACCAGTATTTGCAGTTTGACTCCCATCACCCTTTGGAGCACATGTTAGGAGTCATCAGGACTCTGTATCACAGAGCAGACAGCGTCCCCACTAGCTCAGGAGCCAGGCAGAAGGAGAAATCCCACACAAGACAGGCTCTAGTGCAATGTGGATATCCTAACTGGGCCTTCCTGAAAGCATAGAAGAAACCCAAACAGGACTCCAGTCAGCCATCAGGTGAAAAGGAGGAACCCAGACCAGTGGTCATTCCGTATGTTGAGAGAGTATCAGAGAAACTGAGACGTTTATTTTCTAAATATAACGTCCCAGTGGCTTTTAAACCACAAAATACATTACGGCAAAGACTGGTTCATCCCAAAGATCCAGTCCCCCGGCACAAACAGAGTAATGTTGTGTATGCTGTTCAGTGTCAGGAGGGCTGTGATCAGTCTTACATCGGGGAAACTAAACAGCCACTGGCCAAAAGGATGGACCAGCACAGAAGATCAACATCATCAGGCCAGGACTGCGGTCTACACTCATCTCCAGGCCAGCAGTCACTCTTTCAGGGATGAAGATGTTCACATCCTGGACAGAGAGGAACGATGGTTTGAGAGAGGAGTAAAGGAGGCCATCTTTGTGAAAAGAAATCGTCCATCATTAAACAGGGGTGGAGGCCTCCGGGTTCAACTGTCCCCCTCTTACAAAGCTATGATTGCTAGTATCACTCAGCTCTCTGTGAACAGTAAACAGCCATCAGTGTGCTAATGACCCATTGTTAGGCTGATGGTCCTTCTTGACCATGTGAGCAGCTGGTTTTGGTTGTCAGCAGCAAACTGGTTGATCCACTATGAGGAGGTGCTATTTAAGAGACTGAGCTGAAAACAGCACCTCAGACTGAGGAAGTCTTTCGGACGAGAGACAAAACGTCCAGAGGACCAGATTGAACTTTTTTGGATTTTTCTACCTGGATTATTGAGCATGCATCAGGATGTGTTCACTACAGTGACAAATCTAGGCCCGAGTTACTGTGCCACAAAATGTTACCAGGATGAGGGTCATACAATTTAAGAATAAAATTGAAGTAAGGTGTTGCATGACAGACTTTTAAAGGTAGAAGACAGAATAAGTGAGACACAGTTCCATTAAAGCAGTGTTTATACATTTAAGGTTTGAATCAAAATAAACTTTCCTTTTCTATATGATCAGCATGGCAGTGGCATCAAATTCAGAGATGCAACCAGAAAAGGAAGAAGTGGGTAAAGATAATGAATGGATGGATGGATTTTTATTTGTGCAGATAAAATTTACTTGCTTTATTGTAAAAGACTTTCAAGGCAACTCTTGCTTTTAAATAGGAAATAAAACCAAAGTAAGGTGCCATTATTAACAACCATAACGCATCAATACAGGACTTAAAACTGTAACGATGGAGTTGAGTTTAAGCTTTTTATCACAAAATTAGGTGAGAAATATTTAAATAAAATGCTATATAGTACTAGACCATGTATTTACAATTACACCAACTTATTTTTAACATGACACACATATAAGAGCAATGTGGAGGGAATTCAAAAATAAATGACTGTGTACAAGAGGAACAAATGGTGTAGTCTAAAAACTATCTTGATATTTTTGACACAAATGAAACAAATATGACACTAACTTCTAACAACATCTGTTTAATATGAGAAAAAAACAGTACACACAGTTTGATGATTAAGAACATGCAAACTGGGGAAAAAAAAAATATATATATATATATGGCTGACATCCACATAGCTTTTGAGACAGTGAAAGGGCTGCATAAAAGTCTGTCACCTATAAACAAAACAATGCAGGTGGTCAAAAGTGATGCAAGACCAAAGGCAATAAAAAAGAACTTAAAAATAGGATTATGGAGCTTGTCCAATGAAAACATAAATAGAGGCACATTAGACAGGTAATAATCACCTATGGGCGATTATGTCAGTCGTGTATTTTATGTTCTTTCAAGAGGAAATAAACTACAACTTCTTTGCAGGAACCTTTTTTAAATTGGTTAACTAATTTCCAAATTGAGGCAAAACACGTTACTGCCAAAAATATATTTCCTGTTAAAAAAAAGAAAAAAGAAGCAAGTTCAATAATTAACTGATTTTTTAAATATATATATATATAAATATATATATATAAATATATATATATATAATTAAATCATTGCTCATTTCACTGGTTGGTGGAAACTGTTTAAAGTAATTTCCTTCACGTTATGTAAAAATAAATAAAATGCTCAGCTATAGGAGAGGAAAAGGGGTCGTTGGCAGGAGTCATGGTATAGATTGGGATGTTTTGAATTTCAACAATACAAAGCTCTAAGATCACAGTGAGTCATTAAAGGGCAAGAGAGAGAGAGATGGGAAAAGATAACACAAGACGTACATCCTGCATGCTTTTCACTCCACAACTTTCTTTTTATTCACTTGACAAGTGAAGTCGTACAGTTTGCAGCCAAATCTCACAGCCAAGAGAAACTTTAAGGGTGCCATCTAGGTCTTTAAAAAAAAATTAAGACTTTGTAGTGACACTTTTCACACCTGGCCAAACTATGAAACAGTACAAAAGTTCCCTGAACACCTCCAGTAGCCTTTAGTGGTTTAACTTCAACATCCTCTTTAAGTCAGTAGCATTAAAACCATTTCTCTCATTGATGTTCCTCAAACTGGACTGTGCAAGACATTTAAGTAGATTAGACATTGTTGCATTTAAAATATGTAATGAAGCCAAGAAAAGAAAAATTGTACACCTTTCTATTTAATAACTTAATAGCTTTGTGTGGTGGAGCACAGATCTATGACAAAAAAGCGCATCGAGTGCTGGTTTCTTATTCGTTTGATCTAGAAGTTATTTAAAGCTGCAACTTGTTAAAAGCTGCAAGGAATTGTCTTGTTTCATCAGTAGCACATGTCAAACCTAAGCAGCAATACTTCAACACTGTACCTCCGGATATCTTTAAAACTACTGTAATACAGCAACTTCACTTTTTTTTTTTAGGTAAGCAAAACTCTGACCAGCTTGTCCTGCAATTTTTTTGAACACAATAATCACATAAAATGAAAACTAAGTGGCTCCTTAAAGAAAACAGAGCATGAATACATGTTCTTTTGACAATTTTATTGTCTGATTTCATCAGATATGTGCGTTTGTGAACTTGAAACGAGTTTGGCTAAAACGACCGCTCTTGGAGGATAAAAATAAATGAGGATTAATAAAGGTGAGCGTCATGTTGAAGCACTACAGGAAGTGGCCCTCAAACTTTTTTTTTTGCAACGTCATCACATTCAGAGGCTTCCAAAAAAACATTCACGCCCTAAAATTACAAATGCTGAATCTATTGTTTTAAAACAACCACAGAAACTCAGAATAAAACGAGCTTCGTTTGGTTGAAATGTTCAGGTTCAGCATTAAAGCTTCTCCTCTTCATGCAGCTCTCCTTGTCATTATTTTCCTTGCTGTGAAGTTTGAGAACCACCAACTGTAGCATACACAAGTCAACCAACAACAACAAAATATTTATTTATAAGGCAATTATAATTTTTTTGTTAATATTACTACCTAGGCTGGAAATGTCCCTAATTATCCTAAAACTCTTGTGCCAATATGAAATAACTTGTCTTGAACAGCTTCGTTAAATAAGCAGTTTACTGGTTTTTAAGATGGAAGAAGAGATTAAAAAAAATATAATAATTGTTTGAAACTTTAATCATGAATGGAACTAAAACACAACAGGATGGTCAGTCACCGAGGAGAAAAAAAAAAGCTGTCTGAGGTTCAGCCAGTAAAAACCGTCATGTCTCAGCAGTCATTAATCCGGGGCTTCTTCCAGGACTGACGTGCTGGTTCAGTCAGACAGGTTTTCTTGTCACTCAAGTTTTATTTGTTTGCTTGTTTGTTTTTGTCTAAAGGTCGTAATCCTCCTTTCAGGATCAGAATAACATATTCTTCAGTGCAAAGCCGGTCCCGACGAGACGTGAGGAGGCAGAAGGAGGGAATTCTTGGCAACGGGAGAGAGAGACAGGGCAAGCACCAGTCTTTACGTGCATGTGGACGTCCAACTTCTTTGAAGGGTGTATTGCACAGAGTGGAGACAGACTGGTTATCGGAAAGTTACTGGCTGTTGAGAGACGATGTCGTGTGGGAGGTGAGGTGGTGTCTGCTGCATGTCTCAGTGTTCTGGGTTGACACAGGACTGAAGGTGGGAGACAGCCCTCGTCTAGGATTCTAGAGTCAGCCGGACAAAAGACAGACAAAATTTAAACACGTGAAAATACTGTACGTTTGCCATATTTCATTGCAATCAAATTTCGGACATTTTGCCTAAATAAACAGTATTTTCATACACAATGGTACTCACCCGTCACTGAACCTGTCAACATAATTCATCCGGTGTGCAAAGAAACAAAGTATACCTCTCCTTACCTTCCTGTGGTGGGTCAACACTGATCTCCGTCTCCTCTGTCTCCTCTGTCTCCTCTGTTAGTTCCTCTGAGTCGTCCCTCATCTCTTCGTCTTCATCGTCATCCTCCTCTAGCTCACTAGCAATCAGCTGACGAGCCAGCTTTATGTTCAGGCCCTCATTATAGTGCATCTTCCTCATCATCTGAAATTGCTTCTTTTTGGCTACAAAGACAAAAAAAACGTAAAATTACTTGAACATGCAAAACAACTGACAGTATGTGAATCCATGGCTGGGGCTAAACACGACACATTAAACCAATATGACACAAAGAGTGGTTAAATTTATTCAAAATAAAATGCAAAAGTACACTTACTGTAAAAAATATGCTCTTTATGTTTTTACAACTTTGTTGCTGCTAGAGATCATTTGAATAGACATGAGATTTCCCTAAATTAGTAAAACGTGGATTAAAAAAAAAAAAAAATTAAAGTATGATCACAAATGTTAGGTTTACACAACACGAATGCTTATTACTTTTATGTTAATATATTGATTATAACAATTTGAGATCTAAACTTTGCAGCCGGGGCTGTAAGACTGAGAGAAAGCTTCTCTCTTTGTTTAGTTGCACCTTTTTCTATAAACAGTCCTGATTAACTTGTTCCACAAAGCTTATAGTGGACTTTCATCATGTTTTGTCAAAGGCCTAAAAGGACTTCAGGCTCTCAGATTAGTTTCAATAACAGCATATTATTGTCTAAAAACTGACACTGATCACCTCCCCTGGTGCGTCAGAGTTGAGCACATTTACCTAAATCATATGTTTGTGTTGCCCGAGCCAAGTTTTGTGTTGCTGGTTTGTGTGGGACCTTTAAAAGGACATGTAGAGCCAAGACTGTTTCTACAACCTTAACAAAATGTCACATTTGATTTGCACGTTTTGTAATAGTAAAAACAAAACAAAAAAAACTTATTAATTAAAGCAGCAGTTGATTGTCTATAAAACACAGCAATTGAACCCTGGTTGGACGTTCAATTATCTAAAGAAAATAATAAAAATTGTCCTTTTGAATTGTCAGACAATGCAAATGCTGATTCAAAAAAAACTGTTTCATAATAAAATGTTTAACACAAGGACCCTTGTCTTTTTTCCATTACATATTAAATATTTGTGTATAAATCAGCATTTTTAAGCTGTGGCTTTACAGTTGGATGATATTGATTGGATTTGCAAAGTCTCAGAACCTATTTATTTATTTACTTTCACCATCTGGATATGAACATGGAATAAAGACAGTAAGCAAAAGTGGATTACTTTAGTAAAAGTACAGTGAATGTGTGCATACTATTCAGCTTCACAGACAACTCTGAGTGCAGACAGTGTCTGTATCCAGACAGTGTGTACAGATGGGTAAGGTCAGGAACCGGTCAAATGCGTGCTGACACAGTGAGTGTGTATACGTGTGTGTGTGTGTTGCTTTGTTTGGAAGAAAGTCAGCAAAAAGGTCACACGCACAGACTACTTAAACCTTTCTCAGGCAGATCCATTTCTGCCAACACTTCACTCTGCAACGAGTCACCCTCACAACTACAGAGGACAATTTAACTAGGGAAGCTAAGCACAAATAGAGTGATGAAACATGGGAAGCCCCTGAAAATGAGAAATACACTATCAGATTTGATGTTCACCTTTCTTATTTAGAAAAATGTATCGCAACATCATCAAATTTTGTATAAACTGGAAGGAACAGAGATGATTAAAACAAGATTACCTTGTTCTTCTGGTGTCAGCTCCTCTTGCTCCTCTTCACTACTCTCTTCTTCCACTTCTTCTTCTTCTTTCATAAAGCGAGGTTCTACTCCTTCTGCTGCCACTAACCTGAAGAAAGGTGTGAAAAAATTACATTGGGGGAAATTATTTGTCATTTTCGAACATATCATTAAGTAAGTTTGCAACGAAGTAGAAACAGGAAACTGTCAATAAAAAGAACTATACCTATTGTTTAAAGATAAAAAAAAAAACAGATGTATTATAAAAGCAGAACTTCTGTAAACGTCCAAATCACATCAGAGCAGTTGTTAAATCTAGTTGTTTTTCCTCCATCTGAGGCAGCTGGCTAAAGTAAAGCAGATTCTTTCTAAGCAGCATTTTGTTCACGCCTTTGTGACCACTCGGTTGGACTACTGTAACACACTCCATACAGGAATCAGTGACTCGTGTATCTGTCAGTTTCAGAGGGTACAGAATGCTGCTGCACGGCTTTTAACTGGCACACAAAAGTTTGACCACATTTCCCATTTTATCCTCCCTGCACTGGCTGCCTGTACATTTTAGGATTAATTTTCAAATTCTTATATTTGCTTTTAAAGCTCTAAATGGACTTGCCCCGCCCCATCTGTCAGAGTTGTTACATCCATATACACCAACTCGATCCCTCAGGTCATGTGATCAGCTGCTCCTGAATGTGCTGAAGATAAAGCATAAGCTCAGAGGAGACCGTGCTTTTGTTGTGGCAGCTCCTAAATTATGGAATGACCTTCCCTTGAACATCAGACAGGCCTCTTCCCTGTCTGCTGAAATCCCTTCTTAAAAACCATCTCTTCTCCCTTGCCTTTGACACCATCTGAGATGTTGACTTTTAATCATCATTCTAATTGCTTTTTGAAATTATCTGACTGTATGATTGTTTATGTGTACAGCCCTTTGGTCCTGTGGGTGTTTAAAGTTCTCTACAAATAAAGCTATGGAATGGTATGGTATAAAGTTTTTTGTAAAGTAGGCTAATCAATGTTGTGAACCAATGAGTTAAAGATGAGAATAAAAAACAAAAAAACAATACCACTTACAATCTCAACCACTTACACTCACTAAAAGCCTCAACATCCATATACATCTTCTACCACTTATCCGTAGTTGGGTCGTGGAGGCAACAAGACACAGAGAGAAACCCACACCATCCCTCCAGCAACTTCTGGGTCTTCCCCAGGGCCTCCTAGCAGTGGGACGTTTCTGAAAAACCTCAAAAAGGGAGGCGTCCGGGAGGCATCTTAATCAGATGCCCAAACCATCTCAAACGACTCCTTTCTTTCTGGATGATGGAGCTCCTCATCTCTAAGACTGAGCCCGGCCAACCTACAAAGGAAGCCCATTTGGGCTGCTCGTATCCGGGATCTCGTTCTTTCGGTCATGACCCAAACCTCATGACCATTGATGAGGGTCGAAATGTAGACAGACCAGTATATCGAGAGCTTTGTCTTTCGACTCAGCTCTTTCTTCACCAAGACTGAATGAAGCAACACCCTCATTACTGAGGATGAGGCCCCAATCCATCTCCTTCTCCATCCTACCATCACTCGTGAACAAGACGCCCAGACACTTGAACTCCTCCACCTGAGGTGAAGTCTCCCCACTGACCCAGAAGGTCAAGAATCATGGTCTCAGACTTAGAAGAACTGACCTCAACAGCGTTAGACTAAATGAGTAATGAGTTACGGATGAATAGATGGTTGTGAATATGTGGAAGTGCCACAGGGGAAACTCCCTTCTACTGTACTACTTCTCTGCAACCAATTGACACATATCAGCCAGAGAGAAAAGTGTGCATTAGCATCCAGTTACAAATTGCTCCAATAACAGTATCTGACTGGTAGTAACGGATGGATGAATGGATGACAAATGTTTAAAAAAGATAATGCATAAGTGAAGAGGGACGTCATTTTGAGAAAATCACAGCTGAACAAGTGACAACTATAAAAATATAACTCAAAAAGTGTTCTATTGATTATTTCTTTGCTGTAAAATAATATTGTTTGTCAAGAAGCACAGTTACAGCAAACAGACCATTGATTAAACACAAATTTCCTTACTTTCTGTGCTTTAGTTTCTAAGAGGCAAAAGTGTCAGTGGATCATGAAAGGATAAGACAGAGGATAGCAGCTGTTGTATGGTAATGTCTAGAGTGTTTACTGTAAAACAACATCATTATCTTCCTGTAACTCATAAACTTGAACTGCTTCATCAAATCCCAGCATTAATGCACTTATATAAGCATGACAGCCAAGAGCAAAATCACTTCTCAAGCTCCATTAACATCATGTCAGCTAAGCTTAAAGTGGCAGATAAACACTTCGCAAAGACAGATCATAAAACAACTGTCAAGAGGTTATATTATAAAAAATGTCATTCAATTGAATTTCAAACATTTGGTTCTACGTTTAACATCTGTACTTTGTGTTCCTGTACATAATTCTCATGTGATGTAACATATCCGGGCACTTTGTTGGTAACCACCATTATTGTTGGCACCCAATAGCTGCAGACATGGCTAAGTAAGTTAAACCATCGAGTATTTTTTTTTTTCTTTATGTCACAATGGTTGTTTCGTGTTGGGTTAGAGGATGTTCCAATCGGGCAGACGGTTCGGCATAGCGCAGTTTTTACTACATTCTAAAAATCAGTAAAGCGAAGGACCTCAAATGGAGGAGCTGAGTGCAGAACATCGTGGAGACTGGCTTGGAAACATCAACTACAAGGATCCACCTTCAAAAACATCAAGGGTCTGCTCCGATCACTTTTACAACAAAAAAATTCAATATTACAGTAATCATTTTGTAAAAAAATAATAAAAAGAAACAAGGTTAAAAAACAAACCAAAGAGACTTTATTTTGGAACTGAAGATATTTTGCTTCTCTTTCGAGCTTTCTCAATTCAAAGAATGGAGAGTGCAGAGTTATAAAGCTGAGGTGTTTTGTAAGCTGGATTCACATGCAGATTGCCCTCTCGCACCTCACAATAGAGGTATGTTAGGATCTCCTGATGCATGTTCATGTTAGGATCTTTATTAGTCTGACTCATAGATGAGGCACTCTGGTCACATGAATGAAGTTTTTGATTGGATGAAAGTGACTGGGTATCAGGTCTAAAGCTCCATTATAGGTTTTTGACAGTTGAAATCTGAAACGTCCTCCTCTGATTAAAGACGGTTTCAGTCTTTTTTTTTTACATAGATAGTTTCCTTGACCCCCCTCTTAAACCATCTGTCTTCTCAGTCCAAAATGTGAATGTTTTGGTCCTCAAAAGAGTGTCCCTTATCCTTGAGGTGTAGGTGAACAGCTGAGTCTTGTCCTGAAGAGCTGGCTCTCCTGTGTTGAACCATGTGTCTGTGAAGAAGCTGTTTGGTTTCTCCAATATACAGATCTGGACTGTACTGGGATGTTGTGTTTGGAGAAAATCCTTCTGATTTTCTCAGATACTCCAGCAACATAAGGGATGACTACATTTTTCCATCTGTTTTTCCTCCTTGGTCTGTTCAGTGTTGTGTTTTGTAGATTTCCTCGCTGATTTGACAAAAGCCCAGTTAGGATATCCATGTTTGGAGAGCTTTTTATCTTGTTTTTGTTCCTTTTCCTTCCCTTCTTCTTCGTGGGGACGTGTTCAGCCTGATGCTGTAGAGTTCTGATGACAGAAGGTTTGTATTCCAGTGGATGGTGAGAGTCAAACAGAAGATACTGATCTGTGTGGGTTGGTTTCCTGTAGACTTCAATGTTGAGGCTGTCCTCTCTTCCCATGTGAACCAAACAGTCCAAAAAAAGGCAGCTTGTTGTTGTTTGCATTCTCTCTGATGAACTTGATGTTGTTGTCAGAGTTGATGAATATTTCCGCTTCCTTAGCTTGAATTTTGACCCAGGTATCGTCCACATATCTGAACCAATGGCTTGGTTCACAGCACACTACAGCTGATTGAGATCCTATAAAGTTTATAGGATCTCAATCAGCTGTAGTGTGTGCCAGATAATTGACATGCCACCTGTCAATCAGTTCCGTAAGCTCATCAGAAACTGACAAATTGGTGAACCCAATTTGTCCCGAAGTTAAACACAACTTACCTGTAGGAGCTGCTCCCCCTTTTCCTCCGACAACATGAAAATATCTACTGCAGTAACTATTTTAAGTTATTAGTATCAGAATTTTTTTTGCCTGTCTTCATTGCCTTAATGTTGTCTGATGAGGTAACGCCGTGAGCTTCACTACCTCTGCCATTACAGCTATCTTGCTTGTTTTTTGGAGGTCAGCTCACCCTGGGTTACATTTCCTCATGGGCAGAGCGATCTTACCGTAAGCATCTTGTCAATTGTGCCAGTATCTGGTTCATTGGTGGCAGTTTGGGAGTCAGCCCAACCCACCTTTTCTACTGCTTTCTCTTTCATGCACTGTTTGGATTTTTTTAATTGGTTTGCTGATCAGATTCATACAAAAGCCTTGGAATCCAAATGAAATATTCCTGTGCTTACCTGGCTTGACACTGCAGATTCTTAGATTTACAATAAAACTGTCACTGTATAAACCAGATTTTTTTAGGAGTAGTTCACCTCAGTGTCTTTTCAAAATAATTTCTGAGATTCTTCCTGGATCAACAACAAAGTCCATGCTCAATAATCCAGGTATACAATCCAACATTTTTCAGTCAGGTCATCTGGACAGTTTCTTTATTTTTTGTTCTGAAACGTTTCACCTTCAATCCGGAAGGCTTCATCAGTCAAGGAAACATACAACAAAACTGATTCTTCCCCCAACAGCTTACTCCAAAGTGGAACAAACCAGTTTTGCTTGTGATAAGATGGTCTCTTTGGTACGCCCCCTCCTCCATTGCTGGCCCTCTTCCTTGTTGACAGTTGTGTCAAACTGGTTGACACGACTGGATAATTTTTCAGCAAGCACCAACTGAGACACAGTTTTTTTTATGAAACTATGTACATTTTTAAATATTTAGGCTATAAAAATAAGACATTTTACTATCTTTTCACAAGCAGAGGAATTATTAAAATGTTTGTGACATACTGTTTTTTTTTATTTTTATGCAACGGTTAAACAGTATAAACAGGCTAGAACAGTGTGAAATAAAATCTGTAATTATTAGCAAGTAAAGGGTGTTTTTATTTACAAATGAACGAGTAAAGTGAAAGCATCTTGATATTTAAGTAGAACTCAAGGATAAATCAAGATTGAAGCTTTGCAGTGCGATGTAGAAAACAGCTGCAAATTTTAATGAGTCACTGACTGACACTCTTGAACCAGAAGGCCAGATGTTTTGAGTTGAAAGGGACTTCAGACACACAACAACATGGTTTCAAGCACAGAAACAAGCTCTATTTCTGTGTAGCATGTGAAAAATGTAATGCGAGTCAATTGAACCAAAGATACGTAAAAAAAAATGTTTTCAATATTTATGGATGAAATCCATCAGGATCACAAATGTAAACATTACTATATGAAACTGGGTCATATGCTTTTAGATAAAGCTATGTTCTAAAAACAGAAGCAGTACAACACTTCTGCAGGTGACCTTTGTGTTGTCATTTCTGTGCAACTGCAGTGAAGTTGGCTATAAATGACTGAAAGACATCAGTGGCTGTTGACCAAATGTGTCTTATGTTTGGCTACAGCCTAGTTTACATTAACATAAAAGGAGCTATACAGTTTCAGTGGTACATTCAATGAAAGTGCATTGACTGGTTGCTTCCCCTCTTTCTATTTGTGTATTTTATGTGTTTTTTGTTTGTTTGTTTTCATTTTATTTGACTTAATTGCAAAACACTTTGGTCAGCTTTTGTTGTTTTTATGTGCTATATAAATAAAATGACATTGACATTGTTTACTCATTCATGTTTTCATCTTTACTTTGAGGCCAGGTCATCAGCTGCAAGCCCGCTTTGACCGTCTGAGTCACTGTGCGCCCCCTCGTCATCGTCATCCCCAACCATCCTGGAATAATAACACGCAAAAAAGGAATGCTTTAATGATTTGAGTTTGCTGAATTAACACTCACTTTTTAAGCTGTGCATTTCTCTTTCTTGGAGATTTGAGAACATAGCTACCTACTTAAACCATCCAGTTTTCCTCACTCTATATAGTTTTAATGTTCTTGTGCTGATACAACATAGGGAACATATATTTTACTTGTTTAAATAATAAAACTGATGAAAAATTGAACTTCATACTAAAGATACTGCCACATTTAAACAGCTAGATCAGGATGTGAGGCTATAAATATTTTATGTGAAGCTTTTCACCGGTTATAAGGAGTGTCGGGTTCATCTATCTTCATCAGGCCGTAATCTTTGTCAGCTGGATGGTACGTTGCCAGGATGTTCATCTCATCCCATTTTGCAGATTTCTTTCTGTAAAAAAAAATGCACAAAAGAATAAGAAAAGGAGGGCTAGTCATTCACTCTGAACCACTGCACACCAGCCATTAATCCACCTCAGGGGAAGAGAGCGACCAGCTATAATCTACTACAGAACGTGCCCCAGTTTTCACTCCAACTGCATTATTTTAGGAACGGCTGAACAAGAGACCAAAAATGTCTTCTGCAAAAACATGACCCCTGACGTCTCTTGGGAACTGTGTTTTTGTCAATGTAACAACATGTAAAGCACGCAAGGAAGTGTGATGATAGTTATCAGCTGTGTTGAAAAAGGTCAGACTTTTCTTCCATTGAATAATCTTTATCCATCTCCTTTAATATCTTTAACACAGCTGTCTGATTCCTAAAATGGTTCTTATTCACGCAAGGACTAAAGCTTTAATTTGGACATACTCCACTAGAAGCTTTTGTTCTAAATAGACTAATTATTCTTACTGTTAAATATTTAAAATTAATTAACACAATGACATGAATCAACAAAAAATGTTAAACAGAGAACCTGCATTGTTAGTTTCAGGGAGAGAAACTAGCACATTGTGCTTTAAATAAAATTTGAAAAACTATTTGTCCACTACTGAATGTTGTTTAGGGCATATATTTTATTGTCCTACCTAATTGATATTCAATCTGTTTCATTATTGGCAATAATCTCAAGTCTTCATATGTAGATGTTTTTATTGTAATCCTATGCTGTTTTCTTAAACACACAATTTACATTTTCTAAATGTTTTTGTTACTTCTATCTCCACAGAAATTCCTAGAGTTGACATTGCCTTATGGGGCCGCCCTCTGAAGCCTCATAAGCCAAGTCACAGAACACCACCCCTGACCTTTTTATGATAAAGGTTGGGTGCCTTTGGAGACAGGAAGGGAGCGGGAGACAGGAAAAGATCTTCAATCTACCACCTGCAAAGATTTGCCTCTCTACAAACACATCCCATTTCAGACCGCTCCCACCTTCTGCCAAAAAAACTACATAGTTTGTACATAAAACAGCTGTCCAGAAAAGTGCTTCAAGCAAATATTGTATGTGTGTGTGTGTGGGGGGGGGGGGGGGGGGGGGTAGACTTATTATTAATCCACAATGATAACATAAATGTATTTACACAAACAAAAAGGCATACAAAGGTATGTTACCAAATGCCACAATGGACATAATAAACCTAAAGTGGTCGAGCAGAAAGGATGATTATTAGTGCTTACTAAGTGACAGAAAATAATAAAATGATCTGCTTATGTTCTCAGAACAGACCACAGTGATAGAGGTATGATATGGGTTTGAGAAATACTCATAAAACATGTAGGCAAATAAGCCAATGTTGTTAATTGTAATAAAATTATTTGGCTCAACAAAAATACAGTGTGCACAAGCTGCTCACTTTTTAGAATGAGCAACAGTACAAATGCTCAGAAAACCCTTCATTAGCATTCATTATTTGTACTCTTATAACACTATTCGCCTGAAGCAGAGAAGTTTGAGTATCTGGGAGTTTTGTTCAAGAGTGGGAAGAGTAGGATGGCACGAGAGACAGATCTTGGCCCTGTTCGCAGTATTTACAACTCTGCTCTGGTGTGTCGTGGTTTAAAAAGAAGAGCTAGGCCAAAAAGGCAAAATCCTTACATTTCTGATCTGTCTATGTTCCAACCCTCAGATATAGTCATGAGGTGTGAATCATGACTGGATGAATGAGATCCTGCAAGCAGCTGAAGTTAGCTTCCTTCGTAAGCTGGTCAAGTTCAGCAATTGTTTTTATTGATTTATTTATTTTCTTCTTTCAGCTGCTCCCTTCGTCAGGGGTCGCCACAAACTAACTCACACGAAAACTTGGCTATTATTTTTACACCGGGTGCTCGTCCTAACACAACCACAGACCATTGAACTACCACAGCTCTCTGTGTGGAGCAGAGAGCTGCCATCAAGGGTGCCCCGGGGGAGCAGATGGTGGGGGTTAAGGCCTTGCTCAAGGGCCCAGAGTGGGGCAAATGAGGGTGGAGGCAGGTGTGGGAGTTTCACCTTTCCCACCCACATTTTGATGTTGTCGGTCCGGGGAGTCGAACCGGTGACCTTCTAATTACAGGCTCGCCTTCTTTAACCTCTGCTCCACCACTCTCTCTCGGGTCAAGCTCAGCAGTAAAGTTAAAAATTCCCATCATCTGAGAAGTTTGGAGTAGTGCTGCTGCTGCTTCTCCTGGTCAAAAGGAGTGCTCACTCTGGTGGTGTTCCAGGAACCTCCAAATGGAAGGAAATGTCAGGGCAGAACCAGAACTTGCTGGGGGGACAATGCATCCTCTCTGGCCTGGGAACACCTCTGGGCAAACCAGGAGGAGATGAAGAGTGTTACTGGGAAGAGGCATGCCTGGGGTTTCCCTCCTGGACCTGTTGCCTTCATGACCCAACCACGAATGAGCAAGAAATGAATGGATGATTTAGTGCACTTCTAGTCCTTTACTTGATTTACGTTATATTTACTGTATATCATGCCAACTACAAATCTTTGAGCAGCACTGATAAATATATTTTATCAAAGGCAAGTTTTAAAAAACTTTTTGTGGTAAAAGATCTGAAAATTGACCCGAGTCAAACTTAGCAAAAGTGTTTGATTCTACTAACTGTTTCACTCTATTTTTTAAAGTTACACAAACCAGAACAAACTCTGGAGCGCCTGTACTTGCACACACCTACTACCAGGACACGTAAAATACAGAGCAGCTCTGTCTTACGCGATGATGATTACCTCTCCAGGGTGGTCAACAGCTGGCGATATAGCGCTTCAGGAAAACTCATTAAACAGAGTGAGTCATCTCTGAGAGCCGAGCTGTGCTATCAGGTAGCATAGTCAGAGGACGGCGAGGAAAAGGTCCAGCTCAGTGACCTACACATCAGACCGACCACAGCAGCAAGAACAACAGAAGACGTCTGCTCCGTCACGAAGAAAGCTGCTGATCGTAATGCACAAAAGTGTACAGCTTCCAAATATTGTGTTTAGCCACAAGAAAGAATATTTGGTGCCAGCATAAACCAGAGGGGAAAGCTCATCACTTTCATGTGTGCTTCTCATCTCACAGTATACTCTTGGTGAAGTCAGAGATTTTGCCAAACAAAAATAATTTCTTGGTTTCTTTGACATATTAAAGGAGAACAGATGCTTGCATAACATTATCAACTCTGATTATCTAAAATAAGTGTCAGAAAGCTTTTTAAAGACTCGTAGGAGAACACTACTTTAACACACAATAATCCAGATTGGAACAAAAAGAATCACTTAAATACTGGTTAAAATATTTTTATTGGTTTAAAAAAATAACAAATCTATTATTTTATTGTTGTATAGGGTATAAGTAAATTTTAGCATTTAATTTACCCTCAAATATATTTAAAAAATACATTTAAAAAGCCATTGCTTCTTCTTGCTTTTGCAGGCAACGGATTAAATCAGACTCTTGCTAAATCTAACCATTGCCACACACCAAAAGATTTTTAAAATTTGAAGCAGGATGTTTTATTATGTTCAGAATAAGAAAAGTCTGATTTGCTGACTGCCAGTCAAAGCATTCACCTTGCAGCTTGGATGGGGTTTAAAAAAGCAAGGGGAGATTGAGTTTCATGGAAGCACCCATGAAATATGCATGACAAGGTGTGAGGCTTATGCTTCACTGTTAACTAAATAAAAGTGGGCAATGTCAAAACAAACAAAAAAAATATTTAAAAGTTTTGTTCTCAAGTGGGTCAAGTAAGCCTGGCTTTGCCCTCTAAAACAATAAAGTGTTAAACATAAAAAATGTTGATTTCCATAGATTCAGTGTAGAGAAGCAGTCAAACTCCAGCAGTGATCAAGTGATTAAGAGGTACATGTAACATGATGCAACTAGAATCAGAATACTGAACATAGTTCAATTTAATTATTGCTTTCTCAGAACATAACCTTATTCAGGTTACAGCAACCAGGAAACATTAGGGATGTTTCCTATTCTTATCAAGGTCTTAATTGGAATAATCCTCTTACTGCAGCACATGTAAACATATATTTCCATATCAAAGAAATGATCTAAACAGGAGAAGACCAATGACAGGGATCAACATCATTGTCTTTTAGTTCAGCAAAACTCTCAAAATAAAGCAATACAATTTAGTATTACATCCATACAGGTTATAATTTTGCAGTTTTGATATTGAATTTTAGGGTAATGTTACCAAATACCGTCTAGAAAGAAATACTGCAGTTTGTTCACACAGAGCGTTGTCCAACTAAATGGTTCCAACAAGCTGGTACATATTTTAAGAGGTAGTCCAGGATATCCATTGTGTGCAGCTGAATGATCTAGGAGGGCTATGTGTCATGTTCTACACAATTAAAGAAGACAAAAGCAGAAACACTTTTAGGCTGTGTCAAGTTCGCTGTTAGCACCACATCTTTAAAAATGATGGGGACAAATGTTTGCAGTTTTTCACTGTGACTTCTGTGGTATTCAGGCTGCCTGAAAATAAAATAAAAAATGTGCAAGTTCTATTGCACACACCCCAAACATGGAGGCACCTAAAAATAAACTTCTGCTTGCAAAATTAATTACTTAACAACACCTTAATTGAAACTTAAAAAATGCATGCAAGTTTTGATTTATAATAGTATTTTTTAGAACGGCACGGTGGCTCTGGTAGAGCTGTTCCCTCTCAGTGAGAAGGTCGCTGGAACGAATCCAGGCCGGGGGCCTTTCTGGGTGGAGTATGCATGTTCTCTCCGTGCATGCGTGGGTACTCAGGTTTCTTCCCACAGTCCAAAAACATGCATGTTAGGCTAAGTAGTAACTCTAAATTGTCCCTAAGTGTGAGTGAGTGTGAATAGTTGTTTGTCTTGTTTGTCTCTATGTGTCAATGTGATGGACTGAGACCTGTCCAGGGTGTGCCCCATCTCTTGCACAGTGACTGCTGGATATGGGCACCAGTGACGCCTGCGACCCAAAAAGGAAGAAGCTGGTAAAGATAATGGATGGATGGTGGTTTTTTTTTATGTACAGTAGAAAATACATTTTCAAAGCACTAAAATAATAGAGACTAATATATATAGAAAGATGACTGCTTGTAGATCAGCTGAAAAAAAACATTCTAACATTTCTTAAAAAAGACTGTGTTAATGTATTCATTTTAATTAAAATATATTTGACCATTTGTGTTCTGTACTGAGCATGAACTTTGGTGTATCCTGTATATTTACAGTTATTTGTGCGTTAAACTCCAAGTTGACAGGAGCACTATGGAACATCATGGTCAGCCCTCACTTCCCTTTGAGGATTTGGTACTTGTCTGTACGCAGAATCCCTACAAAATATCCTTTTCCTCCACTTGCCTGTCACTCAGAGAGAGACTATTTTTATAGCAACACTGAAAAGGCTCTATTCGCTGTCTGCAAAGGAAAATTCCAAATAACCGTCATCCTTCGTTGCCCTAATTTCTCAAGCAACAGCTCAGAGGACTTCTCCTAATGACTAGACTGGCTGGAAAAGCATAAACAGGGAACTCTGTGGATAATTGGAATCACTGTTGATTTGTACCAAAGTACTTCGTAAAAACATATGGAAAGTACAGTCTGGAATTTGATCAGCTTTAAAAATGTGACACTAAAGGCAAGGTAATGATGAATTACATTTATGTAACTATTTTTGTAGAAATTAATTAAAAGCTAAGCAGTGGTTTTCTATACGGATCAATAGATGGAAAGCAATGCAGGGTTTAGTCTTGCCTACAGACAGTCAAGTGCGGGGAAGCCAAGATTATCCCACCAATGTTGATATCCCTCAGTTGCCTCTGGAGTCCTAGCTAACAATGCCCGGACTCCACCCTTAGCTTGACGGTCTCCTTCACTCAGGGTGTCCACCACCAAGTTTGAGGTTGATGAAGTCCGTCAGAGCTGCTAGGAAATGTGAAAAAAAAATAATAATAACTTGGCTATTGTGCACTACAGGTACCAAAAAGGGCAACATTTTCAGCTAAAACTAACAGTTTTGAAGCATTTGGCAGGTGGGTGGTGTTACTTGAAATTTATGGCAGCAACACAGGCAGTAAGTAGATTGTGTAAGGCCATCAGAGCTTGTGATTTTATTTTTAGAGCCAACTACTGTAACAAAGTATTTTATGCTCTAAGGTGGGGCACAATTCCAAATAGTTTAACTTGCCATATTTTGCAGCTACTGATGGTGCTTTGTTCTGCAAATTGTTTAAAGGCACAGAGTTTGAGAGGTAGTTAACACAGCTGCATTATAATCAGCCTTTAGACAACTTCTAATGTAGGTCCACAGCCACTGTTGCTTCAGGTACATTCACCCCGTTCCTCACAGATTTTGGTTCACCTCTCAGGTGATATACAGCTAAATATAGTGAACAATATTTGTTCTGTAATTAATTAGTGTCACATACACAGGTAAGTGTAGTTTTTCACTTAAATTATGCCAATTAAAATCCTCCAATAAATAGCCTAAAAGTTGATCAGGTCCAATGCAAGCTACTTTTAACAACAAGGCCCCATGGAGTTAGGTAATATTCAGTTTTTCCATTGTAAATTAACATGTTTACCTCTAATAATTTGGTAATTGTTTTACCCAATTCAGGGGCAATGCATCCCTCATGCTTCCTGATGATAGAGAAAGAGCGAGAGCTGGCAGCAGGAGCACACAACACAGAAATGACTGTGATTTGCAGCATTAATACAGTTCACTGTAACAGCAAAACTGTCCCTGTCAGTGATACAAGTGGATGTAAGAAGGCAAGGCTACATGAAATATCAATGTCCAACTCCTGCCACTTCAACCCCAAGGCAAAGTGCTCACTGGGCAGCAGAAGAGCTGATTTGGCACTTCCACTCCCACTTTTCACAACCTTCACATTTTTACAAGCAGACTGTTGATCCACTCCCAACTTATTTTACCCTGCAGTGCTCTTCTTGGACAAAGTCTGAAACAAACCTCGGGACATTATTGAACAAAAATAATATTTCAGTCGAACATCCACTACTGCCACTAGTTGTATGAGCTGTCATCTTGGCCAACAGCAGGATGGAAAATATAAGCAACAAAAAAAAGCAAGGTGTTTAAAAAAAAAATAAAAGATCTATATCAAAAGGTGCACTGAATGTGTTCATGAGGTAGATTCTAACAAAACAGCAGATTTGTATCAAAGGCATAGCTGTAAGACCAAGTACTAGTCCCATTTATCATAAACTGGACTCAAAACCATTGCAGAACTGTAATGTAGGTGTTAGTGATTACAAATCTGCTTACATAGACTGATAATAGATCTGTGACTCTTAAACACACGTATAACAAAGAAGCTCTGACATTACTTATAAATAACATTTATATGATCACTATATTGTTGCTTGTTACTATGATGTTTGCAGATGACATTGTGATCTTTGATGAGAACAGGGAACAGGTGGAAGAGAACTTGGAGAGGTGGAGGTATGCACTTGAAAGAAGAGGAATGAAAGTCAGCCGTAGTAAGACCGAGTACATGTGTGAATGAGAGGGAGGCCGGTGGAGCAGTGAGGCTACAAGGAGCAGAGGTCACAAAGGTGCAGGACTTCAAATACTTGGGGTCCACTGTCCAGGAATATGGGGAATGTGGTAAAGAGGTGAAAAAGAGAGTCCAGGCAGGATGGAGAAAAGTTTCAGGAGTGATTTGCAACAAAAGGGTTTTCAGAAAAGTTCAAAGGAAAAGTTTACAAGACAGTGGTGAGACCAGCTATGTTGTATGGCCTGGAGATAGTGACATCAACAAACAGACAGGACAAAAGAACTGGAAGTGGCAGAAATGGAGATGTTGAGGTTCTCCTTAGGAGTGACAAGGATGGATAAGATTAGGAATGAGATCATCAGAGGTACAGCACAGGTTGAACAACTGGGAGATAACATTGGAGAGGCCAGACTGAGATGGTTTGGACATATCAAGAGGAGGGACAGTGGGTATACTGGTAGAAGGATGTTAGAAATGCAGCTGCCAGGAAAAAGACAAGAAGGAAGGCTCAAAGAGAAGATACCGGTATATGGATGCAGTTAGAGAGGACAGAGGATGCAGAGGACAGAGTGAGATGGAGGAGGATGACTCGCTGTGGCGACCCCTGACGAGGGAAAAGCTGAAAGAAGATATGATCACTTCAATGAAACGTGATGGAAATGAAATGCTATAATGTACTGAAACATAATACGCTACTGGTTCTGTGACTAACAAAAGCACAGAGTGATATTTTAAAAAGCTGCAAGGCAAGTTTCATCAATTCAAACTGGAAAAAACTTACCAAAGTCGATATAACAGATACCCAGTCCCAATATGACCCCTTACTCTAAATATATAATGTTAATCCGAGAAAAAGGCTAACTTATGTGTGGTTGGCCAGCTGTAACTACAATTATTAACAATGACGTGACTGTGTTATTACTGTTAGCCATGTAAACCGACAAGACGTATGCAAAAACAACATTAAGATTGTGACAGGGAGGAGGTAGCATTTGGTACTGCTGAGAAAAAAACAAAACATAAAGTTCTGGTTCTGTCTGCAGACGCAGCTGGACGTAAAGCGTCAAAGGAGCACAGTGAGGCTAACAAGTGTTTAGCTAATGTCGGCTACCTCTGCGGGGTAACACACCCAGCGATCATTAGCGGGAGACTTACTGGTGTTCGTCTTCCGAGAGACCAGCCGGGATGTGCTCTGTGTTTTCTTCGGGCGGCACTTTCACGTTTCTGCTGCTGTTCTTGTTTTTCAGGATGCCTTTTATCGGTCGAGGAGCTGCCATTCCCGCACAGGCTGAAGAAGCTGACCGGTTCTAACTACTGTACTACTATCACTCCGGATTTTATTATTTTATTCCTGATTTAGACTATTAATTTCCAATAAACGGGTTCTGATGCAAACGTGCACTTCTTCATAATTCAATGTTCTTCCTTAAACTTAATAGAAAGCCAAACAGGATCCAGCATTGTAGACTACTTTAACATGTCCGGTCTCGTGTTGTTCGCTGTCTACTGAGGAAAACTGGGCTACCGCGCTACTACCGCGGATGGACTCGAAATATCGCGAGATTTCCGAAGCGTGGTTTCAGTCCTTCTATTAAAATGGTCCACTGCTGCCCTCCTATGGAAATACACACAAGCAACAGTTTTATTTTCTCTGAAAGGAGACTTCACAGTTTGTGCCACATCAATTAATGCTTTAAGTTGTTCTAACTGAATTGGAGATTGTGGTCATTCGGATCCAACAAACAAACAACAAGAAAATAACATAAAAAAGAATGTGGTTGACAACATGTATAGGAAAAACATTATTTACAAACTGAAACACATGTACTAAAAAAAAAACATTGTTTCCATTTCTGTTTTCTGTGTTTCTATGTAGTGTGATATCACTCTGAAGACAAGTATTATTTGACTAATGGGCTCAGTTCTTAATTTATTTTTTGTCAACTGTACAGCTGACTTGAGTACAGGGCAGTGGATTAAATTTAGCTTTTGTTCGTGAAGATTCTCAGTCATCCAGGACATGATGAATTCAAAAAGCGTTCAATACAAAAACAACTGGACTTTATGTGTAACAGAAGACGATTCGCTCCTCATCCGAGGAGCTTTCTCAATTCAAAGAGCAGAGAGTGAGAGATTCAGGTTATAAGGCTGAGTGAGATAAGACACACACACATATGTAGATTGGCAATTCACACCTAAACATCTTTTGTTCCTCTAATTCACAGACGAGGCCCCTTACTGTTAATGTTGTTTAGGTGTGAATTGCCAATCTGCATATGTGTGTGTGTGTCTTATCTCACTCGGCCTTATAACCTGAATCTCTCACTCTCTGCTCTTTGAATTGAGAAAGCTCCTCGGATGAGGAGCGAAACGTCTTCTGTTACAAATAAAGTCCAGTTGTTTTTGTATTGAACGCTTTTTGAATTTAGCTTTTGTTCTAATTTCAGCACATTTATATTCCTGGAATATTGATTTTTTTTCTTCTTCTTTCAGCTGATCCCTTATTCAGGGGTCACCACAGCGAACTGAGTCACACGATGACTTGGCAATTATTTTTATGCCGGATGCTCTTCCTGAAGCAACCACAGACCACTGAGCTACCACAGCCCTCTGTGTGGAGTGGAGCTGCTATCTAGGGCTCCCGAGGGAGCAGATGGTGGGGATTAAGGGCCTTGCTCAAGGGCCCAGAGTGGGGCAAATGAGGGTGCCTCACCAATCCCACCCACATTTTGATGTTGACGGTACTAGGAGTTGTACCAGCGCTCTTCCGATCACAGGCCCACCTTCTCTAACCTCTGCGCCACCACTCCCCCATTCCTGGAATATTGATTAATGTGTTTAAATAAACAAATGAAATAAAATGGAATATGCTTTCCCAGGAGCAATAAAATTTTATTATGTATAACTCATGAAAACTAAAGTTCAGAGTTTCCCAAAGAAAACATTATACAGAGTTACAGTGACTGTTGTGGATTTTTCTGCTCTAAATTGCCTCAACACAGAAACAGCTGAAATTAAAGATGTCTTCAAAAGTGGTCTTAGAATTTGTTTATTGCAATAGACAAGGCACAAATCACAGAGTGTCTAAGCAGTCTGCAGGAGAGCGCCCAGAGCAGTCTCGCTGCCGAGATACTTGTAAACTTGTTGGGGAGCTAATCAACAACATCTTGGTTTGGTTGGACCGAACCAGGTTTGGGATGTGTGGCGCCGCTGATCCAAGGTCTCAGAGCACAGCTCCCAGCACAAACCTTACACCAACAGGACCTTGCTTTGACTACAGCTGCAACTGTGATAATAAATTACAGCCTCAGTGGAATACAACTTTAGGACACTTCAAACATTAGGAAGAAATTAAAGAATATATGCATATAAAGTTCCCATCGCAGTGACAACCAGAGAAACTTCTGCTTTTTTATGAGAAACAACTCACCAAACATATGTTGTTCTGACAATTTCAGCCAATAGATTTTTTTCTTCTTCAGGTTTTATAGACCTTATGGGTTTTGGGGAGTAGTGACGCAGAGGTTAGAGAAGGTGAATCTGTGATTGGAAGGTTGCCGATTCTACTTCCCATACTGACAACATCAAAATGTGGGTGGGAAATGTAAAGCGCCCACACCTGCCTCCACCCTCATTTGTCCCACCCTGGGGCCTTGAGCAAGGCCTTTAATCCCCACCGTAGGCTCCCTGTGGGTACCCTAGATGGCAGCTCCATGCTCCACACTAGGGCTGTGGTAGCTCGGTGGTCTGTGGTTGCGTCAGGAAGGGCAAGTCTTCGTGCGAGTTAGTTCACTGTGGCGACCCCTGAAGAAAGGAGCAGCCGAAAGAAAGAAAAATAAATAAATAGTCCTTACATGTTTCATTAGGAACCACTACTTGCATTTGACATTATAAAACCAACTGTTTCTTTTCTTTTTTTGTTCAGGACTTGCTTTTCAAAGTTTTACCGCAATAATTTGCTGCTTAAGTATTTTCATGCGTAAAAACATACAAAAAAAAAAGACAGTTATGAAAATGTTAATGAGAAAAAACCTAAGGGGGGGAAAAGGTGTGAAACAAATATAATAGTTGAAGCTTTTGGGACAAACTATACTTTTTTAAAGCACTGACCCACATACTTTAGCACAGTTTAAAAATGCAAACTACAACTAAAATGTGATTGTTTTAATCAGGTACAATATTTTTTACCCAGTTTTGACAGATTATTTGTTATACTTTAAATCAGTGGTTTTTTAGAAGAAATTATGTAACTATTCAATTCATGAAAATATCAGTATTTAGTTATTTATAATAAGTAATTGGTGTTTTCTAATAAGGTTAAATCAGGTCCTCAGAATGGATTTAGGTTAAAAAAAATATCCAAAAGGCTCCTTCTGTCTGAGGCACTGCAACAAATAAAAAGCACCTTCTCATACCTGGATCAACCACTTTGATGGTGACAGACAAAACTAGTTGTTCACATACAAAAGGAGGACCATCAGCGTAACAATTGATCGCTAGTGCCCTAACAATTGATTGTGGGTGCCCTAATGGCAGCTTGCTATTCACAGCAGGCTGAGTGATACTTGCAATAACAGCATGGTAAGAGGGGACAGTTGAACACGGAGGCCTCCGCCTCTGTTTAATGAGGGACAAGTTCTCTTCTCCTTTCCTCTCAAATCTCGTCTCCCACCTAATGTTTTGTTCTGCTTAAGACATCCTAAAATTAAAATGTTTCTCCTTACAACTGTAACAGGATGTTAAAATAATTACATTCCACATCTAAAAAAAATGCTCTAAAATTTATTAAAAGGATGCAAATTAATACTGAAACCTTTTATTTGTAAAATTACATGTCTGTTAAAAATTTTTTTCCTGGCAATTGTTATACGTTAGTTAATCTTTCAATGTTAAGTACTTTGGGGTCCAACATTCTTCTGTATTTTTCATTCATTCAACCTTTATTTATACAAATGGTAAATGGTAAATGGAGCTTACTTCTATAGCGCCTTCCAGCCCCCTATGAGGGGCCCCAAGGCGCTTTACAGTACCAGCCATCCACCCATTCACACGCACATTCATACACCGGTGGCGGTAGGCTGCCATGCAAGGCGCCATCCAGTCCCACCGGGAGCAACTCGGGGTTAAGTGTCTTGCCCAGGGACACAACGGCACATGGTGTGGGAAGTCGGGATTCGAACCTCCAACCTTCCGATCAGAGGTCGGCTGCCACTACCACTGCACCACGGCCGCCCACATACAGGTTAGTCCTATTGAGCCTCGGGGACTCATTTACAAGAGAGACCTGAATTTTAACAAAAAGTGATGACAACAGTGGACAACAATGACAACAATAGACAACCATAAAGGATGCATACAATTTTTTTTATAAAATGTATAAAAGGGCACAACTTGTGGATAAGAACCACGCACAGTCAACAATGAAAGGCTGCACACCTTAAGATAGCGCTAAAGATTTAGGCTCCTCTCATGTGACTGTAAAAGGCCTGCAGCAATTTGGTGGCGCAAAGGCTAGAACATGGGCCCGTGATCGGAAAGTCGCAGGTTCAACTCCCGGTAACGTCAACATCAAAATGTGGGTGGAAAAGGTGAAACACCCACACCTGCCTCCACCCTCATTTGCCCCACCCTGGGCCCCTGAGCAAGGCCCCCAACCCCCACCATCTGCTCCCTAAACAGGTCTCTCTTGAAAACGAGTTAACGTGCCTCAATGAGACTACTTGTATAAATAAAGGGTAAATGGGGGAAAGAAAAAACAAAACAAAAACAGATCTATCACGTGGACATGTTTATGTTGGGAGTCATTTCCGGGGTGGAGTGATTGACAGACGTGTTGCCCAATCAGCGGCGATGAGTTCAGAGCTCGCTTGAGAGAAGCTAACGGTGTGGGATTAAACAGCAACATTTATACCCGTACTCGTAGCGAGTTGCATCCATTTTTCTTGAGGTTGTCCATTTTGCTTTATACGACGCGTAGCAAAGGAGAGCAATGTCGCTGACATCAGCTAATTATCTGCAAAAGACGAGGCTACATGCACATTTAAAGGTAAACACCCATGTTAGCTTCCGTCATTAGCCTCATGCTAATGGAAAGGTCGCTCTGTTTTGGACGCCACCTGCAAGATTTTAGTGTCCACTGCTTTGTGTTTGTGTATACTGCTACATCTTAAAGGTTTCTGAACTCGCTATTACCACTTTATCGTATACATTTTTTCATGTTCATTTATATCCTGATTTAACAGCTGTTTTTATTTTACTAATCAAATGTCTGTCATCTGCTATTTCATTTTCTGTCATAACAGTGATGTTATTATATTACAACCTTCTCTCAGAAAATGTGATCGTTGTCGTTTGACATTTCTGATTTCTCCTGTTATGAAAAATGTTGTTTCCCTCTCTCATTGGGGGTTTTTGTTATGATGTGAAAACTCAATCTCAGTCTCGCTGTTTCGCTAATAGTTTCCGGAAGTTCTTTTTGTACCAAACAGTAAATACAATATCACTCCTTGACAAACTGATCCTCAAAGTTGGATTCTGGACACTATGATGAAACAACAAGAGTGCTGAGATGATCTCTATTAATAAAAACAAGTGTTTCTGCAATAAACAACAGTCAAAAAGTGAATACTCTGTAAATATTCAAATTGTGTTTGATTGGGCTGTTGGTGAAAAGCTTGAGGTTCACAGGCTTCTCTAAAAAGTCACGTTACACTTTCTGATTTAAATAAACGAAATGCTCGACTATGTTCCATTTTCTTTTTCACACTTTTCCATGCAGGATTGTGGAGAGCTGGTGCTTATTTCTGGGCAAGACACTAAAGATAGTTGCCAGTCCATCAAGGGCCTCATAGAGATTAACAAGACATACAACCATTAACATGCCCACTCATATATAGGGTCAATTTAGTTAGTGTTAATCTAACGTGCATGTTTTTGGTCTGTGGGAGCAAAACATGCAGTACCTGAAGAACACACATATGCACAGTGAGAACATGCAAGTTCCACACACACAAAAACACAGTTAAGTCTTGAACCTGCAGCTTGTAGTGAAGTAACTGCTTCAAACACTGTTTTTACTGTTCCACCTACAATCCCTAATCCAAACTTCAGAAATTTGTCATGTTTTCCTGTACATGACTGCTATATTTTTAATATTTTTTATCAATGAACAAAGCCTTCTTCTTTCGGCTGCTCCCTTCTTCAGGGGTTGCTACATGGAAATATAATGCACTGAGATTTGGCAATTTTTTTTTATACCTGTTGCCCTACCTGATGCAACCACAGACCACCGAGTTACCACACCCCTCTGTGTGAAACAGAGAGCTGCCATCTAAGGTGCCCGGGGGAGCAGATGGTGGAGGTTAAGGGTCTTGCTGAAATGCCCAGAGTGGAGCAAATGAGGGTGGAGGTGGGTGTGGGCTCTTAATTTTTCCCACCCATATTTTGATGTTTTTCGTGTGAGAGGTCGAACCAGCGACCTTCCAATCATAAGCTCACCTTCTCTAGCCCCTGCACCACCACTCCCCTCATCACTGAACAAAACAACTCCCACATTTTACAGGCTGTTCAAAACCCCAATACCAAAACAGAAGTCACATGTATGACAAAGACAAATTAATATGATAAAGAACAGCAAAACATTGTTTTGAGTGGTGTAAATGAATATAAATGTTAAGTTCAATGGCAACAATATGGTTAAAAATGTTAGGTAAATGTCACAAAAATATGTAAAAAAAAATTTTTAAATTTAATATATATAATTTAATATCATAACGTATTGTTTAGCATTCGTTTAGTGTATGTCTTGGTGTATATATTAGATCCTTTATATACCGTTTCTTTTTGTGCTTTATATTTTTTGCTATTTTTGGGTGTAACTGAGACCTTGAGTACTGGTACATAATTTCTTTCCACCTCATGTATAACGTGATGCGAATGACAATAAAGATACTTGAACTTGAGTCATATAGTACCTCAAGCAGAGAGCAGCTGCCAGCAGCTTGTTGTATGCAAAGATTGGCTCTTAAAGCATTCTGTCTCTTTAAAAAGGGATTACATGTAAATAAAGGTTTTATTTATTTAACTATGGAATATTTTGAGCCTTTGGCCTACTGTATAAGGTTTTATTTATTTGTACAAAAAACTTCTAAAATACACTTTTTTCCTACTTTTGGCTGCTCCTTTTTTCAGGGGTTCCCACAGCAAGCTAATTTTGTACAAAGTTACATGTCTATGTCTTTTTTTTTTTTATTTGCCTTGTACTCTTTTTATTCAGTGTACCAAGTTATTCATCGGTGGGTAAACAGATTTACAATAAATTAAGTGTCAATTTTATATAATTTCATTTTTAATGTTGAGCAAAGAGTGAGTTATGGGTACACAAATATTGATTTAGACCACAAAATATTTTGAAAAGCTTTAACTTATTCTTTACTTTGGTAACAGATTTTAGTTATACAATGTCTATACTGCTGCTAGCCATTAAAATACTTTTTTCTTTTGTGCATTGGCTTTGACCTGATTGTATACCTGGATTATTGAGCATGGACTTTGTTGCATTGGCTTTACTTTTCAGTCCCAGAGGTTACTTTAATATCTCACGTGCTGTTAGTAATGTTTAAGTTTTCAAACTGATTGTATGAAGGCCTTACACAAATACTTCTGCATTTTTTAGGTGTGACGATACCGGCCATCATACAGGAACCCAGCTACAAGGCTGTTGGTGTGATCACTTGTAGATGTTTGTGTGGCGTTGAAGCTGAGGATTAAAACGTGATGCCAAGATGCTGCTGTCTCTGGGAATGTTAATGTTGTCTGCCACCCAGATTTACACCATCTTCACCGTTCAGCTCTTTGCCTTCCTCAACCTGCTTCCTGTGGAGGCTGACATCTCTGCTGTAAGTAAAGAAGAATACAGATATGTGCAAATGTCCTATAATTAAACCCTTCGAGAGAATTAAACCACTTACAGAGAGACAGACCTTTGTTCATGAATCAATTGCAAACAATTGTTCAGTGTTTGGCGTGTCAACAAAGTGTCAGCAGTCATTTTTGAGCCTACAGTAATCAGCACATGTCAGATAATGTTTTTTTTTTCTGTTTCAGTACTCATTTGACAACAAAACTGAAACGTTTGATGATATGCCTGCTCGATTTGGCTACCGGCTCCCTAGTGATGGATTAAAGGTGAGTGCAAAAGAGCCAAGTGTTGTTTTAAAGTTCTGTCTTGGTTGTTTACTGGCAGATTGTTACTTTACATCTCTACTGAGTCCATGTTTAATTATCTGGACATGATCAGCAAGCAGGTTATGTTTATGAGATAGATGCAATGGATTGAGATTCATGATGTTCATGATCATGTTTCATGATGATAAAGCTACCAAAATATCACCTATGAAGTCAAACACTTTAATGAATCTCTGCACACTTCAAATTCATTTGAATAAAGCTTAATTAACATGTAGTTGAGTCTACTGAAACAACTCTCAAATACTGCTGTCTAGAGTCAAGTACTGTATTTCAATACCATGTCTTGTTTTTTGTTGTTGGGAGGTTTCTGTTTGCCGCAGAAGTTGATCCATAAAGCTCACAAACAGAGGAGTTGATTCATGTCTGCTTTCTAAACTGGCCATTGTTTCCCACAGTCAAGAGCTTGTTGTTGTACAAAGGCTTTTTGCTCTTAAGAGACGAGCCCTTAGCATACCCGACAGATACATGTGTTGTGTTTATTAGCAGTGTATTTGGACTATTAGTTTGTAATGTTATTTCTAAGATTGTTACATCATTATGAGGGTTAAATATTTAGCATTTTTGCATGAGGTGTAATGTAACGATATATTTTAAAATATTTAAAAGTCAAAAAGATCCCTAGCATTTTACATGATTTGAAAACTAATTTTGTGTGGCTTTGTGTGCACAAATGCACACGTATGTAGTTGAAGACCTATTATCTGTAAAGCAGAAAACTATTTATGGTCTAACGTCCGAGTAGTTAAATGGAGATTTGTGCCCAGCAACAGTCAGAATTACCCGACAAGGAAATCCAAAGGAATAATTTACAGCAGGGAGATGTCGGACAATATTTTAGAGCTGCAACATTCATATTTGTTTTACCAATCGGTTTGGAAATGGCATGCTAAGTTGTTTTAATTTAGATAAACAGTAGGGATTTTTACATGGTGCTTTGTGTTCATGTGCAAGAATATTTGTTTTATGTAACAATAGGCTTAGTCTCTCTGTCTTCCACACTGCATTTAATTTACATCTATCATGCTAAATGTATTAAATTATTTTTATTTCTGCTCGCCCTGCTGCTGTCCAACGGGCAGAAATGCTAAACATCTAACGGATATGTTGCTCAGGACCCCAAAGACACACAGTTGTTCATCTGTTTGCCATAAATGTCTCTTTTTGGGCAATTTTGGCAGAAAGCTGATGGAGCCTACATCTTTTTTGAATCTGTAAAGGACAAACAATATTATGTAAAGTTATGTAAGATAGACTGAGACCAAATTTTAGAGGCTCTTCTTTCAGTTAATGAATTATTAAATTGTGATCCTGAAGATTGAATAGTTTAATATCTTGTAGTATGACATGAATAAACTCAGCTACGCAAACTTTGACCTGACTTGACTTTGCCTTTTTTTTTACTGAGGGGGTTTATAAAGTGAGTCTGCCTAGTGAACCGTTTGTGTTGTAATTACAAATTGTTTGCTGCAGCTTTATAAACCTCATGAAGACATCTGGGATCACAAGGTGGCACAAGCCAGTTTATCTCCTGAAGATGTTCCACAGGGAAAGAGGCTTCAAACTGGAATACAAAGCCTTTTCTGTATCTAGTTGCTTGACTCTGTTTTTCTTTTTTTTTACTCTCATCTTGTCTTTGTGACTGCTTCTGTATGCAGCATACACAGCATTTATTCTGTTAATGCTATGCCTTGATATTAGTGATCATTTCCTCCCTCTTAGCTCATATATTGTTTTTATAAAATAACCGTGGCCACAACACCCCTTAGATCAATTTGGTCTTTCTTTTAAATGAGTGAAAATAAGGAAAGAGTAGAAAGACCAATGTAATTTGCAAACGTTGTGCAGCACTTTAAAAAGTATTTGATCTTACAAAGATATATTGATTTTGTCTGAGAATAGGAAGGTTGTTTTTTTTTAGTCATTGTAGAAAAGGCTGGGAGTAAAAACAGATGCAGAGGTTCGTTTTCAAAGATCTTCTTTGTCACATGTTAATTTGACTTTCTTTTTTTTTTTTTACATGAAACACTGCCTAATTGTCAAAACTGCATCTTATGAATGTAACTCTGTTCCCTGTTGGCAGTAAGGTTTTTTGTCTTCCCACTCAGACATTTTGTTAGTTTCTGTTCCATTTCTGTACTCGTCACTTCTGTAATGATAACCTGCCATGCTAGCTTTGTCAGACAGAAACCTCTGGCACCAGTTTATAAGAACTGATTCTGATCAGACAAGGTCCCTGAAGTACACAACTATACCCTGTAAAATAGCTCCAAATTAAAAAGTATAATTTAATCTTGTAAAAGTTTTTTTTTTTTCTGTGTGAATGCTTGTGCACAAGTTATAAAAAGTTTCAAAAATATTTAAATACAGACTCAGCATCACCTGGTAAAACTTTTCCTGTATAATTCTGATTATCTCTAGTTTTTTACTAAAGAAGTTGCAGGTTGATTTACTCCCAAACACACAAACTCATCTCTAACAGGTTTTTTTTTTTTTTAATTTACAGTACTTGTTCTCCAACAAATTTTTGTCAAAGTGCTTTTGGGGGATTTGTTAGTCATAAAATTAAAGTAAGAGTTTACTTTCCTTCCTCAACATATCTTGTTTTGAGTGTCACGTGAAGCAAAAGACTCAATATGGTGAAAGTACAAACACGCTGCATATCAGAGAATAATGTGTACCATAGACTGTTTAGTGCTACATGAACTGTCATCTGTTGTGACAAATAATTTAAAACTGATTGTTTTTCATTGTAGAAATGATCTTCTTTAGTTAGTTCTGAATTATAGCTTTGTTTTTCTAGACCATTAAATGTGCAAGATAAAAAGGTTGTAGATGTTTTTTTTTTTTGGCCTAATTAAAATCCTACATTTCTGCTTTTCATGCTCTGGATTCATTCTACAGACTAAAGACATGGAGTGTAGGTATACTATTGATGACTTTGAATTGCTCACAGATTTTGTTGTGGTTATAGCATGTCATTTAGAGCATCTTTTCCTTTTGCTCAGTTTGAACAAAGGTGACAAAGTTCCTCCTTTTTTAACAGGTAGATGGATGTTTTATGAAACAAACAAGACACAAAACATTACTGTAGATCTCTAACTAAAATACTACTACAAATGTGATCAGATACGATTAATTTATGTTGAAGAGGCATTTAAACCAACATTCTGTTCCTAACATGTTTTTTGCTCAAATCCTTTTTAATTAACTGTGAAATCCCCAAAAGGCCTTTGATGCTTCTTGAATTCCTCTTTAGGAGGCTCCTTTTTTTTTTCAACCCTTTGGCGCCTGCAAATATTCTAGTTAGTTTTCTAGACAAATCTGCTTTGATGACAGAAAACTCTGGACAAATGCTCATACCTAAAGTCATTTGCACAATATTGTCACTGATGCAGTTCATGCACCTGCATTAGTCGTCTTGTTCTCTTTTCTGGTACTCTGGTTCTCTCACACTTGTTTCAACAGTTCGGTGTCCACATGGCTTGAGTGTTATACGCCTGCACGGTTCAGTGCAAGAACAGGTTTTCTAGCCTGACATTTTCTTTCACTTATCTTTTTGTTCAAGTACAAGGGAAGCCTGACCTTTCTAAAATTTACGATTTGACATTTACATCAGTTTTAAACCACGGTTGACAGTTTGTGGGGCGAAAAAGAAGCCAGGCAGGGTGAGTTTCATGTGTTTTTGTCTTACTTGTTTGTGTAGGTTTACAGTTAGCTTTTACAGGAGAAAATGACAGCAACCACAAATATCAGGAGTAATATTCTTCTCATTCCTGTAATTTGACCTTTTCCCAAACTACAAAGTGTCTTAAGTACCATTTCAGTAGAGGAAAGCACACTTGCACTGATAATTATTCAATAAAGAGGAAAAGCCAAGCAGAACTTGGTGTTCTAAATTTAGAAGTGACAATGTCCAGAACAACTTAACAAACAAGAGTATAGTCCAATGCAATGAGAAAACGCTGAGACTTCAGGCCTAATTCAAATTACTGTTAGCCCTACACGTACCCCTTGACCTTTCTTAGTTTGACTATGCAGATGGTGGGGGTAATTGTAGAGGCTAAATGGGTGAAATGGGATTCAGCTTAAGTTTTTCTAGCTCTGCTGGGAAACTTGCAGCTAACTTGTACATTTATCCTGCCTTCATTTTCCATGCAGAGTATGATACAAACACAAAGCACTTTGTCTTGACAATAAGACACAACTACTCTGATACACTAACACTTTTATGCAGGTTTATGGCAGAAACCCACCAGTCCTTAATAAAAGAGCAGGTAATCTGTGCCCTAGAGTCCTGGCCTTGCAATATTTTATCCTTTTCTGCTTAAAAATGTAGTAAAATATATAGTCTGCATGTCTGTTTCATAAAAAATAAAAATAAAAACGTTTGTAGCATCAGCTGCTTCCTGGTGTGATTAGGTATTGTGGTTTGGTTCTGAACATTGCCAAGACTGAGTGGGAAGTGGCATAGAGTTTAATCTGCTTTTAGGAAACCTCAGTCATGGTTGAGTGAGATTTTAATTCCTTTGTTTAGCACCCCCCCCCCCCCCCCCCTTTCAAATCACAGCAAACCTGCAAACAAGCCTGCTAGTACGATTTTCTCTTGACAGGATTAAATGTAATCCCTGTACAATAATTTGCAATAAATCCTCCTCACTTCCGCCTTGGATTCTGCAACAACAGAAAATCCTCTCATCTATCAGCACTGTTTTAGCACTTGCTACAGACATTTGCTGTCTCTAGGGTGAAAAAGAGGAAATTAATGACTTTTGCTCCTTGAAGTGTAGTAATTTATTGAATCAAATTGGATCAGAACACTGTTTCTAATGTAAATGTATTTGCAATGGTAGTAATTTATGGGGTTTTTTTTTTGGAATGTTTTTGTGCAATCACATCTAGCCTTTTCTCCAATTACTCTAAAAGGGAACTGTACACATTTTTTATTTTCCAGAAAAATATGTTAGCCTTCATTGTTATAGCTTGATATTTGTGTCCACATAAAAAATTTAAAAAAAATTAGTGAACTAAGTGATTTAGTATCAAAGTGTATCTCTGGTAAAGACTGTTGTTTTGCAATGTGTCAAGGCAAATGACAGATGAGCTTTAATGGAGACATTTCATGCACTTCTTTTCATGAGTGCAGTGGATTTGCTGGCATCCTAATAAAAAATCCATCTACTCATTTTTGTTTTACCTCCTTTTTCCTTTCCAGCTCATGGAAGAGTTGGTGCCTGTCTCTAGCAGTCATGGTGCGGGAGGTGGGGTACACCCTGGACAGGTCTCTAGTCCATCATAGGGACACCATTCGTACTCACACCTAAAGACAATTTCTAGAGACTTTCTTGCTATGAGGCAAAAGGGCTAACCACTAACCACCACCGTGCCTCCCTTAATGAAACGTTTGTAACAGAATTAAAGTAAAACACATCACTTTGCAGCTTTGTCTTTAAAGCCCTTTGCAGCTGATTTAAGAGCTCGTAGTGAGACTTAGAGCTTTACGCGTTGCTGCTCTTCTACAGGACATTTGCTCTTTGGGATCTTACCAACATACTCATTATGCTCATAAATCCTTAAAGACAGTCTGCAGGACTCAGTTTGACCGTTCCTGTAAGCACACTCACATTAAACTGAACTCAGACTAGCACAACTTCAAATGAAGTAACATGACTAGCTCTTTGCCCACAACTTCTTTAACGCCTTTCATTTTAGTCCTTTATGGTTTTTGATAAAACTTTTAAACAGTTTTGTTAACCGTCACATGTTTAACTTTCCCAGTTTATTAACCACTCCATAGCTGTTTTGAAGGTTTTGTAATTAATTACCTAATTTTTCATCCAACTTCTGTTACAACAGCGAATGGAGCTGTTTTACAGTTATGACATGTGGTTTGTTTGTGATTTACCATCAGATCAGGAACTTTCCACGTGCTTGTTGTTTTTGAGCGACTAAAAGTTTCCCTTGTGTCACAACAAAGTTTTTCCCCTTCTGTCCAACACCCACTTCTGTTAAACTGTAGAGACAGGAACTGAAACATCCCATCTCGTGATTTGTGGATCATCCTCTCATTTGTCAAGTTAAACTACACTGTGAAGAAGCTCTTTTAGTGCAGTACATGATTGCTGTCTTCAGTTCAGTTTAGTAATACTAGAGATGAGTGGTGTTCAGTGTCATTTCCTTACGCAGATTTCAGACCGTGTTTCCAGGATGCCTTCTCCTCCTCCCACAGTTATTTCATGTTGCTCAGCCTATTCTCGTCTTCATTCTGCAGTCATGGCAGACATTTTTTTTTCTTGCTCTGTTTTTAACGTTATCCCATCCAACAGAGGGCACTCTTGTTGCTGGTTTTGTTGTCAGACGGTGGAATGGAGGCAGCGGCACAGTGACGTCATTTAGCAGTAAGGGCTGCACTGGAGACACCCAGAGCTGATGGTGGTGTTCCCTCACATTCCTTCTGGCCAATGATCCGAGATTCTGCAGATTTCCCTAATTCAAAAGTTTGATCGTTCACATTTGTAGTCTTATTCAGTGTGTTTAGTCAGCAGTTTTTATCTTCTGTTTGACAGATTTATGTTGCTAATCTGTTTTGTCCCAGTGGTCATGTTTCACGTGAAGCTCAACTGCTGTTGGTCATCCCTCAGTGTGGCAATCAGCCAGATGTTTTCCTGCAGGAAATCAGTTTGCTGCGAGCTGACTCCAGCCTTATGTGTGCGACAGAAAGTGCTGACTCGTCAGTGGGCTGTGCCAAGGTTTAAAGCCATAGCTTTGTGTGATGCAGGGGTAAATGCAGCGATAAAAGTGACAGCAGTCCCACCACAGCAGTCCACACTTCCTATCTTCATCGCTCTTTGGACACACCGGTGTTAGTTATACGCCCATAAGAGCAGCAGAGGTTTTGAAATGTTTATAAAACCAGGTCACTCCCTCTTAACAACTTGCTTCTTTCAAATTTATCTCCATTTATCTTACTACAACTTTTTTTTTGTCATCAGTCATTTATTTTCCCTCTTGTCATCCAGTAACCTCAGCGTTCATATTTGTGTTTTATTTATATATATATATATATATAGACTCCTCTCTCATCTTGTCTCTATCTCCTCATCAGTCACTTCAAAGCATCAAAGCTGAAACTGGAAATGAGACCAAGACAGGAAGCAGCAGAGAGGAATGTAGATGGGAAATGCAAGGTTCAGAAGGTTTTTAGGGAAATCTGAGAACAGCCAGCTTATTTTATATTCTTATTTATATTATAACATACTCATACAGTTTGTTGGAAATATTCTTAATTTCAGTTGACAGTTGTATATTATGCATTTGTTGCCATGTTAGTGTTTGTTTTATATTAGGTTGCAGCAACTACCGGTACTCCGTTTGTTTCTCGAAGAAAATAGTACCGAGTCAAGTTGTTTTTAGAAGAATGCCTGTGGGGGGGTTTAAGCACATGAAGTCTGTCTGGGAGAAGGGAGAAACGAAGGTGACTTTTCCGCATGAGTCAAGGAGCTGACATTGGGATGAGACTGTATCTGTCCAAACGTTTTGAGATGTATAAACTCAACTTTTAATATTTTATTACTTATTGATTTGTCAGTGGTTCAGTCATATAAACTGTATTGAAGACTTACAAAACTAACCAGACTCAGAATTATTTTGAGTCCTTCGCCCTTTAGCTAAATTTGGTCATTTCAGTCTGTCTTCACTGGCCTAAGAAACTTTATTAGTAATTTTTCCTACATATAAATACGATCTTTTCAGTTAAAAAATGTTGTTCTTAACATATAGTCTTGTATTTTAATGATTACCTTTTGTTTTTCCAGAAAAATGTCTCGTTTGGCTTGTTAAGGAAAAATACTTGCTAAAAGTTCAAACAAAGTTCAATATTCTTCTTATCTCCTATGATATTATTCCCACAGGGATTCCTGATTGGATCTCGACCAGAAAATGCGTGCGAGCCCATCGAACCCCCTCCCAGAGACAACTTGACGGGCGCCTTTTTCGTCCTCATCAAACGGTTTGACTGCAACTTTGACATGAAGGTACGGAAATTAAACTGGTTGAAATCCGACAGCATGTAAAAAATAAAATAAAATAATAATAAAAAAAAAAAAAAAAATATATATAATTATATATATATATATATATATATATAACTAGTTTTACTCAACATAAATGAACCGGTCTTAAAAACCATGTGTAGTTTTTTTCTTTTCTTATGATGGATTCGTTTAATTGTTGGCTCTTTTGAAACCTGAATGATGATTTTTAAATAAATTTCAACCCCAGAAAATGATTTAAAAAACAATATTTTAAAAACATATTTAGTATTTGTTTAAGCTGACAAAATTCTACCAAAGTGCGTGAAATCCTACACTACCATGTTGCTTATCAGTGTCTTTATGTCAGCAGGGGGTGTTCCAGAGTTAATTTTTACTGAAGCTCAAAAGATCATCTTGATAGAGCAGGAAAACAGGAAGTGGCCATTTCCCTAAATACAGTTTCCTGCAAAATAGTTCCACAAATTTTGCTGCCGCCTCTCTTTTCCTGCAGTTTTTTCTGCCTTTTAAGAGTTAAAGTTTTATGTTCGCCTGAAAACTCGTGGAAAAAGTTGAAGGATGGAGAGAGACGATTAGCAAAGTGAAATGATCACCCGGGTACCATGTACAGAGGAAGGTGGTAAATGCTGGTTCTGTCTGGGTGTGGGTGTGAGTGCTGGGAGTGAGCTTGTCCTGGAGAGGAAGAGATTATTGACTTGCTGACAGAGGAGAGCAAAAATAGAAAAAAAAGTGATTAAAAAGTTACATCTGTAATCCTGACCTGTCTTTAAAAAAACTTCCTTGGAAACACTATAAATCAATCCAGGACAGGATCTGGGTTGTATGGAGTCACTTGTAGAGGCAGTTTTTTTGGAAAACAATACAGTTTTGTCCATTTTCATAAAATTTGTTACACCAGTTATAATGCTTCTGTCATCATAAAGATAAAGAAAACGATATAGAGTTCAAATGTTTGAAACATTTTGTAGGAACATGGGAAATTGTGCTTGTTCTGGTAATTGTGATGACTTTGCAGACCTGCAGATGTTGAGTCGGTTGCACTCGCTGATTCATGTGATCTACTTTTTTATTTTAATTTGAAGAGAGGAAATGACTCCTGCTCACCGGCGGTCACTCAAAACACACACTCCTTTTGAATGCCAGGCTTAGCTCTCTTGAGAATAAATCACCCGAGACGTGCAGATCTTAAGACATTCTTTATTTGTGAACAGAGTTTGTGTAAAGCACTTACAGATATTAGATTATTATTATTGTTTTAGATGGACCAAGTTAACTGATGCTTAGAGCAACATCATCACAAGAGCTTGGTTTTGGGGAGCATTTTATGGACCAAGTTAACTGATGCTTAGAGCAACATCATCACAAGAGCTTGGTTTTGGGGAGCATTTTA